CTGCACACCTCCACGGTGCCTCCAGGGCTGCAGGGCTGGTGGCAGCCAATGCCAGCGGACAGGTGAGGAGCAGCTCCAGCCCCGTCACCACCACTCGAGCCCAAACGCACTCGTGCCAGGCCATGCCGAGCCTGCGCCTCCCCGGCACGGCTGTGGCAGACGTCTCTCACCCCTGCTTGCGGGGATCTTTACAGTGAATACGTATACTTCAGCATTTCCCTTAATCAATGCATTTATTTAGATCTTCATGACTCCCCAGCTGTCCATACAAGCTTTAACTTTCATTTCTTAAGAGATATTTAACAGAGAACTCGCATAGATCAGCCACTCCCTACATTTAAAAAAAATCCCCACAGTTTAAGGTATTGCTGTATCATTCGGAGTTCTTCTTGTCGAACTTCCCTTTTTCTTACTGCCTTTCCTTTTCTCTTGCCAGATTTACCTTTAAAATGCCATTTAAGGGCATTAATTTTGTTTCAAGTATATAGAGTGCTACGACTAGGAAGAACTCGAGATAAACTGTGCCCAAACCACTCGGCTGCCAGCCTGCAAGTTTCCCGACAGCTGCATGCCAAGTAACAGCTAGGTGCTACGGGTCCTATAATCATTTAGGATCTTTTGGAGAATACTCCAACAATCCTCTTGCATGGCAGGACCTGTTCCACTCCCCTAACATCACTGAAGCAGCTCGGGGCTCCGCGCTGTGGGGTAGGGCACTTCTAATCTTCCAGAACAAGGAGGCCCAGCACAAACCATCCTATTAGTTCCCCTCACAGATCCCATGCAAATACATCGATCAAACCCCAACTCTTTTTCCCAAGCAGCACCCCATCCAATACCCACTGTTTTACAAACTCAGGTATTTATTGCTGTAATATCCAAGTACCACAGAGACGGACACAGCACCTGCACTGGACACCAAGGAGATGAACCTTACATCGCCTACAAAGCCCTGCTGCAGCCAGCCAGCGCATCGCTCCTCACCCTCACGCAGCTTCAACCCGTTCTTTGTCCCATCTGAGCTTCGCTTGGTTCACACAGAAGCAGAGCTCCTTGGAAAGCAGCTTTGGCAAAGCAGAGAGGACAAGACAACAGGGAGAAACAGAGCCCAACCCTCCGGGTACCCCGTTCTCAGGACACCACCACAGTGCAGCTTGTCTCGGGGATCCCAGTATAGCCACTGGGCATGTACAAAGATACTCCAGCTTTGGTTCAAGCCTCAGAATGAAGGGGAAGCAGAGGAATAGAAGAATGATGGAAGAGAAAAACAAACACAGAAAGGATTAACTGGCTCTATCAAGGTAGCATGATATATATCCTGCCATGTCACGGATGGAAGTTTTCTTATAGTTAGCCTCAAGGTGAGCACAGTAATTTCTTCAGCTCTCGCTTTTTACTTGTTATGGGTGGCACTGTAATGTCTAGGCTTGATGAGAAAGTCTGTATTGCACCGTAGAAGCATCTGAGAGAGCTTAGCTAAGTAAAATTGAACAGCAGGGTCTCTTCTGTGGTCCTGCAGGCTGCAGAGGGGAGGCTGTTGCTTGGTGTCACAGCCCATCCCTGCACATTGGCATGGTCCTTTTCAGGAAACGTGTGGAAGAGCTTAATCTTTTCCGAGCTGGAGGAAGGACACTGGGGGACCGTCAGCGGTTGGGCTCTTTGGGCTCTGTTTCTACAACACCACGGCAGAGCTCACGCTGTAGGGCACGCTCGCCAGACAAGATAAACCAGCCTGGATTTAACAACCTTAAAAACCTGATCAGGGGTGGAGAATTTGCTAACGGGGTATCAGCTCATTCCAGTTCTTTTAAATATCACAGCATTGCCAAGGCGCTGTTTAGATTCTCTCAAGCAACACTTCAAACTATGAACTTGAGATGGAGGACCCCTACATCTAGAACAGCACTGGAGTGTCCATAAAAGCTGTTAATAGGGGAAAAAAAAAAGAAAAAGGAATGAAGCTACACCACATTTATAGAACTCTGCAGGGAAAAGTAAATACTTCATCTGTTTCCTTGGTTTGACTCAAGTAGCTACAATCACACGGATATCTTCAAACAACGATGGAAAAAGGCTGGTCTGCAGCGTTCTGGGGCACTCAGAAAGCGGTAGCATTGCTGGCCTCGCATATTTAGGCTGATGCCTCGAGAACAGCATTGGAAAATTCTTTCAAGTACCTCATTGTTTGGAAAGAGAGCTACAAAAATGCCAATGTTTTAACTCAGATTTTATCAGCTCTGAAAATACTGACTCCACTATTGATCTTTTTAGCCTGAGCTATTCTGAGGGAAGGTATGAAGGACCCATCTGGATTGATTTAGCTTTGGTCTCCAAAAACGAGTACCATATCTGTATACATAATGATACATTTAGGATTACACTGAAAAGCAGCCCTAGAACCAACTGATACAAATACTGCTGATGCACTAGGTGCATTAAGGAGCACTAAACCAGCCCTGTTTACCTGAAATAAAAAAATAAAGATGTTTACTAAAGTAATACCTAGGATTTTTACAACTGGAAGTCTGAAGAAAATTTTCTTTCAAGTGCTCTGACGGGATCAGCTTCACTGACTACTTGCTGGTGTATCACTAGATACGCAGCTCCAGGTCAAACACTTCTCTCCAAAGCGGCAACCAAAAAACCTTACATCAGTAATTATCTCTTTCTCAACCCCAAATTAGCATGACTTCTTAAACTGCTGTTACCGATCCAAAACGAGCCCTAAAAACCCAGCATTACACTGCCACACTATGGCACAATTAAGATCTGCAAGCAAGCACAGAACAAAAAGACAATAAAAATAACTCCTCTAATTATTTAGGACTACAGTAGCCACCATTAATTTCGTTTGCCTGCCACATTTGTAAAGCACTAAACCCAAACTGTTGTGCCTTGTTCAGCAACAGCTATCCAGGCACATCACGCCTGAGGACTTTATTTTTGTAAATTTTTTTTTTTTTTGTAATTTTTTTTCCCAAAAACAAACAAAAAAAAGAACAAGTTTACTTTCTGCAAGTGTTAGAATCTTCAAGGACTAGTTTGATGTGCCTGTTGCACAGATGGGATACGCGGGGAAGTGGATACCAAGAGGGTTTCTTTACTTTGCTGGCTACAAAATACAGAGCTTTTTGTTCTCTGCGTTACAATGTGATCTGAAAGGTTTTCAGCAAACAGCCTGTTGGAGGAAAGAAAGGTCCAAGAGACCTTCTCCGAGTTTTGTTTTTAAACTATTTGAGGTCACGTTACAGAATTTCAGAATCTACGTTATTTCTTTACGTCAGAATATAACTCATTTCAGGCCCAGAAATATTTCAAAATACTTAGTATTTCCACATTTTTACCAGTAAGTTTTGTGAGAGTTTAAAAAAAAAAAAATTTAAAAAATTTAGTTTTGCTGACCTTGAAGCACAGCAACCCAAGATTGCTGAAATGTCACATCTGACTTTTTAACTACAGCAGCTCGCGGTACAAGGCATGCATTATTTTAATTACTTTGCCATTTATATAATTTATCCCTTCCACAGCATTAGTTTTGCAAGAAATCTATAAATCAATTTTGTATGACCGTTACCAGTACTGCTTTATTCATTCTAACGTTCCATTTTTTGAGTGTTTTTCTAATAAATCAAACATGATACATAAGCAATTGGCTGAGGCCAAGACCATACCAATTATTTTACCTGCAAGAACTTGCCATTATAAACATTTCCCACAAGGCATAATAAAATACACGGCTGGTGCCACAAGACTTGCAGGAATATCCTGTACTGAAGCTTTCAATAAAGATTAGATGCCTAGCTGGGGTTTCATTTGTTCCACCCCTTCCTTAATCGCTATTGTCACCACCTCAGTTTACAAAAAATGGCAGAGCCTAGATGCACGCCAGTCCCTTCCCGTTAGGATGGTTTATTCCAGCTTTTAAAAATCCCAAATTATCTTTCATCTCTAAATACTTTCAGTCACAGGCCACTTAAGCAACTGACAAACGGGATTTTCTCTTTTGTGCATTACCTGTCTCTAAGCCACAGGTATGCCCGTACACTTTAACACAATCTCTGTTATTAGGCTCCTGCTTTCAATTATCACAAGATTTCTGTCATTTTTTTTTTACTGCCTTTACTCAAAGCACAAGCCACCACGTCACACCAAGACCCTAACTCCTCCTAACAGTCAAGCCGTGTAAACAGCACACCGTGAACGTTACAGTCTTTCAACAAAATCAGCTCTAGAGCCTCACTAGCAGCTATTACGTTCTCATGAGCAGTCCTGAACCGACTGGGCCAGGATCAGGAACCAAATAAATTCTGTACTCACACCTGGCAGCCAAGCTGCAGGCACCACCTAGGGCTTGGAGGCCCTTTGGGAGGGGAGGAGTTTAGCAAATTGGAGTGACACTGAACGCAGAAGATTGATGGAGAGCGCATTCTTAGCAGTTCTAGTGTTTAGCAGTTGCCCAAGAGTCATGCTGAACTGCACGAGGAACTTAGAAACAAATTCCAAATGGGCAGCTCCTCCCCCAAACCCAACAACAGCCAATTTTGAAAACGTGGGTCTTTAACTGCACCCAAAAATTTAGCAGCAGATACTACAGCATTTCTGTTATTCGGTACTTTTCAGTTCCAAAAATCAGTCTTCCCTTCCCCAGCTGACAGCAGACATAATCTTCTTCCATTAGTCATTCAGGCATCACAGCTAGGTATTTAAAATTAGATAAACTGCTTTAAAAAGAAATATTATTGAAATCATAAAGATTTAGGCTGAAGTTGAATCAACTACTGCAAAATGCTGTTTCTCACTACCGTCTCTTTCCTTACAGCCCACTCTGTGAAGGACACTGGATTCCTTATCAGATTAATTGGACTTCTGTCACATGGAAAAGATTAGTTAAACGGCATCCTTAGTGCTGCTGAATTATGTCTTCCTCGGAAGAATCAAAACCATGCTTCGTTGTCATTCAGCAGGCATCCCCTTCAAGGCAACTACAGGAAACTTCCTACCTTCCTGAACTTTTCCATCTGCTTATAAAGGTCTGGATCCAGCTCCTGAGACACATCTTTCATCCAGAGCAGAGCTCCTCTGTACTCAGTCCGATACTGTTCCATTCGGTTCACTGTCAGCCACGTGTCCGAGATGGCCCTGTACCGGAACGTCTCCACTTCTTGATATAATCGACTCAAAGGAGCCCGCAGCGCTAATCTGGGGGAAGGCACCAAGGAAGGAAAGGAAGGAGAAGGACATGTTAAAGAAGTTGTTCCACAAAGGCAGACGGATTCATACCACTACTGACACTTCACTAGCAATCAAAAAACCCAGCCAAAACGGTTCACTTAAGCGCCCAGGGTACGTTCAGCTGCTTCTACAGCTCGGCTGGGGGTACACACGAAGGGGGCAATTTTGCATGAATATTGTTTGCCACCTTCCTGTTCAAGCGGTAACCTTTCACTTACACAGGCGAGTGGAAAAAGAATCTTTCCTAATGCATATATATATTTCAGACAGGCAAGCTGCTTGCAGGTATACTGTTAACATTCCTCTCTGCAAGTTGCGTTCAACAACCCTAAAAACGGACCTGAGGTAATTTATTACTGGATACATACCACAGAGAATCAGGACCGTCAGGTTAAGCCTCACAAACCCCACTTCCATTAGCCTTTCAATCTTCAAACGGACACGTAAATAAAGAAGTCATCTGTCAAGTAGATAATTATCTCATTTTTTTCCTCCTTCATTTCGTTTTTTTTTAAGGAATCTCAACAATTCCTTTGAAGGACATTGATCTTTCGGAAGAATTTAGGCCATTTCTTAAATGCTTCTTCCAGCAACTACCCTTTGCAAAGGCAGCAGGGGACACTGTTGTCTTCCCTAGGCCACCACTTCGTCTCCTAGTGGGATCTCGGAACTAGGCAGGGTTACTCCAACTCCTACTTGGCTTCCTGCTGCTTCTGCTTTCCTCTTGGTTGCCAGCTGCCACCCCACTGGAATGGGTTCAATCAGTTCCACACCAGTGCGGAGTTAGTTTAACGCGCTACTCAGGGACTTCCTAGGCCTAAGAGAATTTCTGATTTCAGCTCCAGTAACCAGACTGTGTCTCCTCGATCTCCAGCCTCTGCGCTAGCTATCGGCATGCCACATCGATAAGAGCAGTCCCAACTTCAACATGAGCTTGAGGATGGCTCAAGGGAAGACAGAAAAACGTTATTTTTATGTGAGTTTGTTTAAAAAGATGCCTTAAAATTGCACGGAGTAAGCGATACAATAAAACGTGAACTTTTTAGTGTGGCTTTTTTTTTTTTCCCTCATGTTTTTTCTCACTCTACAAACACTTACCCAGCCATTCCAAAGGAAAATTCAGCTTATGCAGACATGTCATACACTGGGATTTCTATAAACAGTTAAGCTTTATAGAGAAGCAAATCCTCAGCGCTTTTGCTCAAAGGTGCCTTACACGTGTTTTAAAGATCCCACTCACAGTGATTACTGGATGTGCTAATGACCAAACTCCAGCCCAAGATAAGCATATGAAATTCTCAGTGCTCTGTCTGCGATGTTTTATTTTGAGCCAAACAGCTGCACTGTTAAGCGAAAGCTGGAAAGGATCACAATAGTTAAGAGCCCTCAAAAATCCTGTAAAATATCATGGAACAGAATTTTCCCTTGCAAATGATGGTGAATTTCAAACTTTCATCGTCCCAATACTGTGAAAAGAAAAGCATCATAATACTCATAATGCCATCAGGCACCACTGCTTTTAAACTCTTTGGGCAAACACAGGGTCAGCGAGTCATCAAGGGCTCTGGGTAACAGCATGGGTCCCCCTCTGGATTCCTTACCTCCTCCCCAACCTACATGAGCTCAGCAGGGATCTAGGATCTTCTCCTTGGGGACTTCATGGGTGAGGTTAAAGCAGAAAATGGCATTCAGACTGCCCCCTTCTCCCCCGTCTACTTGACGTATGAGACTCCACGGCCCAGCAGAAGGCATTCCCTTACCCCTCTCCCTGCCCTCCCAGGACCCAAACACCCTCACAACGAGCCTGCTGTAGCATTTCTCGTGCCACCAAGCGGGAGAGGGGCCTGACTCCAGCTCCTTTACAGCCTCGCTGCTAGAGAGGCCGTGCCGATGTACCTGCGCAGCTCTGGAACTGCCGGGCTGGACGGGCACGGGCGAGGGATCTGGATACACAGACACAGCAGGTCTGAAAGACTCAAAAAAGGACCAGGCAAAACGCCTTGGAGCAAGCCAGTAACACTGCCAGCACTACAGCACCTTTTGCCGATAATAACTCTTCTATTATCTGATATGATCTATTATTTACATCGCAAATGGCAAAATGAATGACGCCAATGGTGAATCAGCTACCGGTATCCCACGTGCTTTGTAAATCACACAGAACTTCTGACACATATACCTTTGCTGAGAAGAAAAGCAGAGGGCCTTTCCTGTGGCTTGCATCATTTTTCCTGCTCTCGTTTTATCCTGAGAACCCTGTGATCGAAGAAATTTCCCCAATTCGTTTTCTTCCTGAGACAGAACTAATGAAAAAGAAATGATTGGTTAAACACATTATTTAACAGGTTCCTAACAGCTTTAAAACCAGCCTAACATCAACAGGTTAAGTCACTCTAAATCCAAGCAGCACAGCAAAAATAAATAATGTCACAGAATTCCTGTGTTTAGTTAACAGAAGATCTTGAGACAGTTGTTGATATACTTCACAAGAATCACAAAATTCCATCAGGGCTGAAAGACAACAGGAGAAACGCTATTTCTGTCTTGAACAAAAGAATAAGGTTTGTTAGATTACACAAAGGGTCCAGTCTTGATTATAGTATCTTTTAGACCTGAGGGTTTTGGTTTGTTTGGGGTTTTTTAAGCCTTTTTTACCACCTGGCCTGCCTCAGCTGATCTTTGGTAGCGTACTTCTACTGAAACTAGTTAGACTAGCCAAAGCTTGTTCACTTGCTTCTCTCTTGCTCTCTGTTTTTCACGCTTGACTACATAAACGAATTTTTTGTATGAAAAATCTAGTACTTCATTTTGAAGAACATTTATTTTCAAATTACTTTGCAAGATTATTTTACAGCTTCAACATTCTATACAACTCAAACATTATTTTTTAATTTACATTTCAAATATCTGAAATATTTCTAATGCAAATTAACCGGTTGTTTTTTAAACAAGAAGAAGAAGAAAGATAAAAGCGTTTTCATGCTGAACTGTTGACTGCTTCCAAACTGGGACCCTGGGTCTTCACGATCTCACACCCTTACAAAACCATTTCATTATGGCCTCACCTACTACCCTTCCAAAGCGGCTGTTGGCTGTGGTAGCAATTTCTTGCTGCTACCGACAGGGAGAATGGCTTAACACGACAAAAGAAGATCTCCTGAAGTCCTCTTGTCGTTTCCCCAAACGCTGACGGCCAAACCCAACGCAGCCTCACAGCATACCCTGGCAGAACGTGCTGCGTGCACACCTTCCCACCAAAGATTTCAGCTGCTGCTGTGGAACACTTCTTGAACTCAATACACCCTATTCTGTCTTCCAGTTTTTACCTCCAGATCCTGAAACATTACCTCTGAATCTCATCGGCCAGGCAAAACAAAAAGATTCCAGAAAACAAGGATAACATCCAACAAACCAAAGTAAATTGAAAGACGACTCCAAAGCTGGATCCTCTTTTCCAGGCCAGACATCCCAGCAGCAGAGAATCAAAGAATACCGATTGCAGAGAACCTTTAGAGGTCACATAATGCAACCTGCTGCTTGAGACTGCCCAAGTGAGGTCCCTGTCTCTTGCTAATGAGCGCCACTAATTACTGCATACCTGTTAGAGCCAAGTCAGCATCATCAAGTGCATCATAATGGCACGGATTACTGAATTATAAAACTAGCAATACGCCCACTACTCTTGGTCGTCAACCCTGACTGAAAAATAATTTAAAACAGTTCAGCGCAGAGTTAGGATTTCTAAAACAAGACACTTTGAATTTAAACAAGCCAAACAAATAACGGAAAAAAACCCCAAACTCTTAAAAAAGCAAGTTTTCTCCCATGTTATTGCCGCCTATCACTGAATAATATCAAACTTAAAACTTAAGACCTGGGAGCTCTTCAAGTAAATAACCAAGTCTGCCTTTAGCTGTCTGCAAGGTCTTTGGTTTTAAATAGGATGAAACTCGTAGCTCCCCATTTTCCTTTTCACTTCTTCTCTTGCTCAATGACCCCACAAGGCAGACCTCCTTATCATTTTAACTACTGTATTTGATCATACTTACAACAAATCCGTTTTTGATACAGTTCAATTGCTTTCAGCAACTCCATACACGTTCTCTGAATAGAATGGAACAGCTGACAGTGAAACAAAATACACACAAAAAAAATTAACTGTAAGCATATGCAAGAAACACTGACGATCAAAATACAAGAGCTCAATTTTTCGCAGAAATTACTAGGGAGCACTATTTTCTTCTTGAACAATGAGTAATCTCTCAAGCTTGAAAGCGATTCTTCCTTATCAAAAATAATTTTGGAAACAGATCTATTCTAAACAGCTGATAGTTAACCAAACCACTCATGCTGGGGTTTTTTAATTGATAACTTTGGATATATACGAAGATGTACAAATCTGTTTCTAAAAAACTCACAGCAGAGCAAAAAGTTACCAAGATGTCTAGCACGTTTACCACGTGTGGCAATATGTATACTGAATTTTTCACACTGAAATGTCTAGCGGAACCAACTCGCATCGGTACGCCAACATAGGAAATTACTGATTTAAATTGAACTTTTTACTGGCACAGCTCCGGTTTTCTAACCAAAGTTACGAAGCAGCTGCTTCCAAAGGAAGTAGAGGGGGAAAAAATAAAGTCTGTCTTGAGTTAGTTTGTTTCTAGGAAACAGAAAAATTCCTGCTCTTTGCCTGTCCGTCTAAAACCTCCAAGCTGTAACTCAAACCTAAGCTCCACTGCACCAAGCACTGCCCAAACACCAACACAATGCAATATAAAATATTGTTCCATCCTTCCAGCTTGTTTTATGTTAATACTCTTGGTTTGTAACCCACCATGAAGACCCCATAGCTAGAATCATGCTATAAGTTATCACTGTTACAGCTAGAACTACAAAGATTTGTTTGTTGTAAAACAGCCTCTTGAATTTCAGCTAAAACACGGATAAACTGAGAATCCTAAGTCAAGAATTTTCTAAGAAACTGCAAGAAAACCAGTAAGGCAAAACCTTTACCCTCACATAACAAAACAATATTGGTAAAACTTAGCTGGACACTAACTTGATTACTACACTTCAGAAGTCCATCCTCTATCTTTCGCTTTGTGACAAAGATGTTCAAGCTCTTCAATTTGTAGAGCCTTAATTATTTTTTTTTTTTCCAGTGGGGTTGAGGATACCAAGAGCAGGACTGCATTTGTCACACAGCAGGATTCCTGCTCTTGGCTACACTTTACAGACTTCCAGAAGCTTCTTTGGGCCTGTCAGAAACCACTTATCTGCACAAAAGCCCCGGAAGGCAAAGTGCACTATGCACCTTGCTCCTTCTTGGCATACTGCATGTTTTTCTGCTACATGTGGCATTTTCCAACGGTAAAAACACTGTCATTTGTACACAGTATAGAATACTACTTCAAAAAAAATAAATCTTAAAGTGATGTAAGCAAAGGGTAAGAATATAAGGATATAACCACAAAGGACAATTTCCTGCTCACCCCTGCCAACAAAAGGAAAAAACCTGCCCCCAAAAGCTGAAGATAAACACGAGAGATGTCAGGTTCCAAACCAAGTTAGAGGGACACGGGGTTTTGTGTTACAAAATGCCACTATACTCCCCATAGATAGATAGGTACTTCTTTCAAAAACTGGAAAAGATATTACAAGAAAATAATGATTGAAACGTATGTTCATGATCACATACTGCGTGTACACATACTAGAGGCTTGACGGAAATCACAACATTTTAAAAATTAACAAACAGAAAACACACATTATGGAAACATTACAAACCTCTAGTTTTGCATCCAGATCTGCATCTGAAGCCACAACATGCTCATCTTCCTTTTTTCCTGTAACTTTTATAAGGGTTTGTTTTGTTTTCCAGTATTTCTGTTGCATTTTATTGACCACAGATTTTTCTTGGCTTTGAGCATATTGGTCATAAAATTCCCTTGGATAATTGCTAGAATATTAAGAAACAAAATCACAAAACTTCAATAGGATGCTTATAAAGTAAGTCTAACATGCTAGATTAACACATTTCCAGCAAGAATATTGCATTTGCATGCAGACACGTGTCTTCTAACGTGCATTTTCTCATTATGTATTAACGAAGCAATTAAATTAGTACTATATTTCCCACCCTACTTTGGAAACTAATACACTGCTTTCAATCTGAATGTCTTTAGCATGTAGCGCTGCCCAATATCGGGCTGCAAAGAATTCTTCCCACTGCATTATGGAATGATTTACGGCCCATGGAATTAACTTTTTATTTTCACATAACTAATGGGAGAGTTTCAAGTGAAGAGTCGCTTAAGCAGGCAGCAATTTTTACACCATTTCAGCAGCGTCAGGATTTCACAACGTTCATTCTATGAATGGAATTAACCACTTCTTGCCCTCCCTTTTCCACAATTGAATAATAAAGAAGTAGAACATTCATCTCTCTCGAGCACACTATATGGAAGACAGAGAGCTCACGTCTTTACGCCATGACTACATGACAACTGTGGGTGCAGAACAGCTAATTTTTTTTTCAAGGATCATCTTCTACTGACAGATGATTCTGCATTCCTGTAGCAGACTAATAAATAAAGTGTGATCTGAAGACAAACTCCCTATTGCACGATACTTAACCATCCCAAGGCAGTATAGAAAACATAGCCTCACAATGAAATCTTGACCTCTTTCAGGAAGCGTTATTCCATTATTCGTTTCTGCAAAAGCACATGCCTTTTCCCCGACGTGCATACATAAAAAGCTGCAGTGATTTTGTACATCTTTAGAAGTAAAAGGTTGCTAAAACTTGCAAAGATATTTACCCATTTAATTCTACCCAAACATTAGTTCCAGAGTTTAATTTCTTAATTTCATTAGAATTAACATAAAGGCCTTTTTGGTGCTACAGCACAAAACCAACAACAGAGGCAAAACACACCTCAGCTCACGTGGAATTCTGCACAAACCAACCCTTACGCACCCTGACAACAGCCTCTCAAGTCAGGTGAAGCCTATATTGACCTAATACAGGCTGCACCTTTAAAATACAATACCTACAACCTCTAATAAACAACAAGCAGATCCCCCTGCGGTATGAGAACACAGAATATGAGAGTAATAAAAATAGCATTCCTTTAAAAATAGTAATAACAACAACATCAATCTGCTCACAAGGCAGTGTAAAGGCCCCGGCTGGCGGGTGCTTTACCTGCTGCTACAGCTGTGCAAACAACCGGTGCCTCCGGTCCATGCTCAAGTGAAGACAACACCGTAATTCATCACGGGATGTCAACCAGCCTTGATACCTACCTCACTCGAGGTCACTAGAAATTCTGGGGGCGTGGTGCAAGGAATCAAAATGAGTTATTAATGTGAGGTCACCAAAAAAAAAAAAAAAAAGCAGCTGGGATTAATACAGATTCCTGAATTAGAGACTGAGAAACCAATTGAAGGAATAAGAGGAATATAATCTTTTATCACTACGCACAAATTGAGCTTCTGATTTCACTTGGAGAACTTACTGGCTCCTGTTTATGCTTAAAATAATGAAAGATTAATAATCACACTACCAAAGTAGTCAGTGGACAATTTTTACTAGTAGACACTCGTCAATACCTTTTTAAATGGATTTTGTGTCAAGCCATCATGGACGTATTTAGGTTTCTTTAAACGATCAGAAAATATAACTAAAAGAAGGATGTACTTTATTCAGAAGCTGAGGACCATGGATAAACCTCCTGAAAGAGCACAGTTTGCACACTTCTTTCCATTAAGCAGGAAATTGATAACAGGCTGTTTTTCTCTAGGCAATTCACTTGGTTTTCATTTTTTATTTTTATTCTTTTTAAGCAGAATGTCTATGAGCGACTTCGTATAAATACTCGATGTGAGAACACAATGTGTGATAGACTCAAGCAGTGACAAACCATCATGCCAAACACCATTAGCTCTTTAGATTAAGAAAAAATGATCAAGGTACTTACTACTTGTGACCTTCCATGTTTCTTGTTTTCTTCAGACACTTAATAAAATAAGAAATGATCAGTTAATACAAACATTTAAAACACAGTTTTCAAGTTAGACTCTAGAAAACCCCTACCTTTTCATACAGAGAATGACCATGTTGTAGCATCTCGTTTACCGTGTTACGACAGAAAACTTTTCCATCTCTGGACCAAATGCTTCCTCATGTAACACACGATCCTCACTTAAACCCACAACAAACACCTTTAAGTGGTGCTGCTGATCTTGCCAATTATTATATATTAGCAAGTTTTCCAGGCAAAGGCGAATATACCTGGCAGAAATGCAGTGACTTTGGACAAGGCAAGCCACAACTGTCCATGCTAGGCATCTTCCTCAGCCAAGTTGTTTTCCCCAAAGTTTTAGCCACAACAAAGCTCAGCTACTTTTTTCACCCATGCCCCACTGATCTGGTTTTTTTTTTTTTAAACAACACTATCTACATCACGGACGCAAAATTTAATCACGAGGTGGTTCTTCTATGAGGGACACCACAGTTCCTGAGGACAGCGTGCGATTGGTATGCATTTGGACTTCAGATCTTGTAAGTTAATATCTCCAGCTTGGATATTCAAGTCTCCCACCACACTTTGAGCTGACCAGATGGCACGCACACCACTGGTAATTGAGCGCGCTCCTTCCAGGCCAAATTTACAAGCGATGCCAGACACTCCTTATAAATGACAGGCAACAAACTTCCTGGCTTCTCCTCTGCTGCTGTCAGAGAGGGCTCTGTTCTTCAGCACACAGCCAGCAAGCAAACTGCAGCATGATCATAGACGAGACGAGAAAGAAGCTGGTCAGATGCTGCTGCTGGGAAACGGCCTGTGGTGAGGCCAGGCGCAGCAGGGACACACCAACAGGCTGCGCTAAGATACGGAGCTGATTGCCTGAGCCAACGGCAACGGAAAAGGCAGCCAGGAAGGTAACGGTGCTGCCACGGAACTTTGGCACCAATTTGGGCAAGAGAGAAAAGGGGCTGCGGTGGGGAGACGTGATGCTGGAAGCGTATCTGGGACGGTTCTGTGGGCAGCCAGCACTGGGTGGCAAAGGGACCGGAACAGATTGCAGGAACCCGAACGAGGGGATGCAAACAACCCGAGTGCCTCCTGCAAGCGTGAAGCACAGGAACTTCCATTTGGAGCCGAATGGAGCCAAATCCCAGATTTCTGATTCTAACCTCTCTGCTGTCAGTACCTGTGAAACTTCCTGGCCAAGTTCCATGAGACGCTGCGAGATTATTTCAGAGCAGGAAATTTTCCTGAATTGGAAATTCTGTCAAGAGCTCATAAGCACTGCAGGAGAGGCCACGAGAAAATTCATAACTCTGTCTTCAGAGCAGAGTTTAAATGTAAAGGGCAACCGCTAAACAACAAAGAAAGAAGAAGAAAGAACTGTTTCAGGCTGTTGTCTGTGTGACAGCCCCGTTGAGCCAGACAACACACAGAAGGGACAGCACCAGGCATGGCTTTGCTGTAGCTTCTAGAGCCATAAGGCACAGGCAACACGAACTCCAGTTTTCTAATACCTTGACGCTTGACTTCCCTGTTTGAACACCGGTCCTCCGTAAGTCAACTGTGGGTGTGTGCAAGCGCGATAAGAGCACAGGATTTAGCCCGTATGCCCAGCCATGACTCAGTTACTCAGCAGCACACCGGGTTTGACAGGAAGCAAAGAACAGTCGATCGAGATGGATTAACGTGCATATTAGGCGGAACAAAGTGCAAACGACCAACACGGGGAACAGTCCTGAAGCACCGACCTTACACACTGTATGTGTCCACCTGACTGTCCTGGAAACCAACGTCCCTAAAAAAGGCGGAAAGAAAAACGTATCAGGGTCGTGGTGAAAAAGTTCTCACTTGCAAGCACGGCTCACGCCCTTTCTTCCTAAATAGCTGACCTTCTATTTTCTTAGTTACACTCCCCTGAGTCCTACACAGCACCCCTATGCCCTTAGGGTGTTATTTGCAGGGATTTTCAGTTCAAAGCGAGGACTGTAGCACAGCTATCAGGTCTGCCACAGCTATTAGGGCAGTGTTTTCACGATATGAAAATGAGGGCATGAATTCCCTGTCCCGCTGTGTGACATGATGGTGTTTGAGGCTACAAGACCTCACAGGATAGCGCTGTACGGCCGATGAGGGTGGAAGGAAACAGAAGTGGAGTCTTACCCACACTGCCTGCTGGAAATGGCTCCTGGCATGTGGGGTCACCCAAAACACGCCAGGAGAGAGAAAGGCCCTAGACAGTTCTAGGTGGTATAGGTAAAAACCACGCCAGGGAGATCGCTGCAATTAAAACGGCAGGAACAAGCAGCAGCCCAGTGCTCAAGCTCAACTCCTAGGCCTGTTTTACATCCAGTACAGAGCTAGTGTTTGGTCCTAAGTGAGAATTCAGTTTGTACAAAGACAGGTTAGTAAGCACTGGTATTAAGAAAACAGAACTGTGGTTCCTCAAAAAGAATCAGATGACTTTTGATAAGGCTTGCAGTATTTCACCTATAATTTCCATCAAGAACGTTCCTGGATGCCATTCATTTCAGATGCCGTGCAAGGAGCTTTCATAAAGAAACCAGTTATGCCTCAGCAGACCCAGCTGAGTTTCACCTTTCCCAGTGACTGAGAACACTCTGGAAAACCTGGATGTCCACTACTGTTATACCATTCTTTTAGCTGTTAATTGAGACCACAAATGTGCATTTGGTTTGGGTCCCACAGATCTCAACAGCACCTGAAATGATTTACATTCACACAGACTTTGTTTCAAGCTAGATAGACTTGTGTAATATTTGCAGGACTGTAAACTAATTCATATTTCATGTTTCAGCAACACATTTAAGCTCTACTGAAATGGAACCAGTGTGTATTAACATAGATATTAAAATCAGACACAAAGGTAGAGGAACGTAATAAAGGAATGTTTACTTGAGCTGGATGTAGTTGATGTGCTATTACAGGAATTCCCATGTTTGTATGTGAGTTCTACTGCAAATGTATCAATTTTTAGCTTGGAATATTAGGGGTTTATTTTTAAGAATCATCCAGTCTTAACTCGATATTCTCACACTATCATATCCTTAGCTGGATTTTCAGGAGGAGCTCAGGACAACTGTGTGATCTTTGAGGTCAACTTCCTCAAAGCACATGAACAGCCCATCTCTATGGGCAGAAAGTTGAGCACCTGTGTCAGAAGGCCAGGAGAGATTAATTTTAACAAACTCAAATGCAAAAATAACGCATGCCAAAGATGGAGGCGGGGACAGGTTACCCAGGAGAATGCAAAAGCATTGCCTGAGGATGCAGGGATGGAGTTAGGAAAGCCAAAGCCACGCTGGGGTTGAACCTAGCAAGGGAGCAAAGGACGACAAGAAGTGCTCCATAAAAACAGGGGCAGCAGAAAGCAGGCTAAGGAAGACACAGGCCCCAGCGTGACAGAGCATATGGAAAGGCAGAAAATACGGAAAGTACATTTTTGACCTGGTTTTCACTGGAAGGTCTGCCCTGTGGCTCCCTAGTTCTCCAAGCCTACTGTCAGGATCTGTGGGTGTGTATCACAGAAAGACCGAGTTAAGAGGTACTGAAGCCATTTGGTTGCACACAAGCCCACGAGACCAGATGGGATGGATCTTGGGAGTGCTGAGGGGACTGGCTTATGTCATTGCAACGATGTCCTCTCTCTTCTCTTGAAGGTTATGGTGATCAAAAGAGGTGGCTGACGACTGGAGAAAGACAAACACTATATCCATCTTCAAAAAACACAGCAAAGAGGATCATGAAAACTTCAGGCCCATCAACTCCACCCTCAGTTCCTGGAAAGATCATGGAGGAAGACCTCCTGGAAACCATTCCCAGCCACATAAAAAACAAAAAGGTGAGTGGTAACAGCCAGCATGGATTTATTAAGGGCAAATCATGCCTGACTAGCCCAACTGTCTTCTGCTATGAGACAACTGCCTCTGGTGAATGAGGGGAGAGCATTGGATGCCGCATACTGATTTTGGCAACGTCATTGTCCCGGTGTCCCATAGAATCCTTACAGCCTCTTGTGGGACCACATCTGGAGTAGCATCCGCTTTTGGGCTCTCCACACACCAAAAACACTGGCATACTGGACTAGGTCTACTGGTCAGGGTCTGGATCCCATGACACATTTGTTCAACTATAAGACCACCAGGCGAAGAGGAGAGATGTAGAGCGCACAGCCAAGCCCTTCTCAAAGACGCACACTGGAAGGACGAGTGGCCATGGACCCAAGCAGGAACCTGTGAAATGCCAACTTAATACAGGCAGGAAATTTTTCCCCATGAGGGTGGTCAAGCACTGGAACGAACTGCCCAGTGACGCAGATGCTGGACATGGCCCTGAGCACCCTGCTCTAACTGGGCCCGGTTGAGCAGGAGACCGGGCTACAGAATTTCCAGCGCTCCCTTCCAACTGATGGGCTGTGAAAATTTGTACAATGTAGAAGAAGACGAGACCAAAGAGCAGCAAGTTTGCTGCTACTATGGGTTTAATACCGAAGACTTTCCACAAGAATGGTGTAAATGGACAGCAGAATAATATTGCACTGTGACCACACACAAACATAAAGTATGGTATTTTTTTCTTTCTAAGAGTTATCTACAATATTTTCACCTTTTAATCATATTTATTTTCACTCATAGCTGAAACTTTTAACATTAACAGTTTTTATTCTTCAGATATTGCTACACGTACAATGTAAATTGTCCTTGCAGCCATCTAACAGGGCCATCATTTCTTTTTTTTTTTTTTTAATAATCTCTAACTTTATGTGTTGTTACTGCGTATTCCAAGCCCAGGAACCAAAGAAGGTTAAGATAGTGGTTCGACTGTAACAAAGGACATTATTAAAAGCATCTGAGACAGCTAAAAGCAGTCAGTTTTTTTTAAAGAAATCTGAAAGTCTTAAGTCTAGCCACAAAAAGTGAGAGATGCTAATAAAAGGGGACTGGAAACAGCCCCGGGAAGT